CTATGCCAATTGTTGTACGTCATGCTATTATGAGACTCATTTCTTGTTATCCAGAAATTCAATCACAAGCTCTTGTTACACCAACAGATTTATCCCTCTTGTATCAATTGAATGACATGATGGTATTCTATCCAATAAGAGATAAGGTTTTGGAATTTTGGTTCCAAGGTGACATGGCTCCTCAACAATGGTGGTTCAAGTCAAGTCCAACCATTGATCAAGGTATTAAGAAATTATTCGAATCCCATGTTGCTGCCCTTTCCAATAAGCTTGAACTTCTCTTTGAAAAGTCATTCGAAGAAATTGATGCAGTTTTGAAGAAGCAATCTAAGGAAACCTTGCTATCTGCTATGATCATGTTGGATCAATTTCCAAGAAATATGTACAGAAATAGTGCAAAGAGTTTTGCTTTTGATGATGTTGCAGTCAAGCTTTCATTATGGTGTATTGAAAACCAAATTGACCAACAATTTGAATTCCCATTACAAAAGATCTGGTTCTACTTCCCATTAGAACACGCTGAAGATGCAGAATTACAAGACATGTCATGCGAACTTTTTGGTAAACTCGTTGAAGAACATGAAGCTATGGCTCTTTTCAATAAGTATGCTATTAACCACAGAGAAGTCATTCAAAAGTTTGGAAGATTCCCATATAGAAATAAGGCCTTAGGAAGAGAAAGTACTCCAGAAGAAATTGAATATCTAGAAAGTCAATAAATTATTTAATGATTGGATTGTTTTTCGGTAGAGCCAACATAGGTTTCTGACAATAAAAGGACGCCAATCGCAACCATTCCTGGTAAGTAAACGTTGAACATGCTTCTCTTTTCAGATTTTTCATCTACTTGGCTATAACTTTCCCATGAATATCTAGTGAAAAAGCTCAAACTTAAAAAGCTAATGTTTAACAACAATACCAACAAGCTAAAGTTTTGTTTTCTGGCAATTATCATTACTTTAGTAATGGAATAAACTGAAACAAGAGCAAGAGCAGCCCCATAAATACATTGTCTTTGTAAATAGTTCAATAAATTTTCAATATTCTATTTAATCCTTACCTAAATGTGTGATATCCAAATAC